TTCAAGCAGTAGTATTAGCCTGTTGAATAGAACTATATTTTCTGAGAGCTCTGATAAATGTACAGATTGACTCATTTGTACTGACATTTATTTGGTTATGCATTGAGTGAATTATAAGCAGCATAAAAGGAAGAACAATGTAGTAATTTATACTACAGAAACACTCATTTACCAGTCTAGTAATACTTCTCAGTGTCAAGCGTGTACATACCAGCTTGCACAGAAATGTTGTTGTTTAAGGTACAGTAGATATATTAATTAGTCCCTGAATTACTCGTATGCATCAGCACTGAGGAACATTACAGGAAGTAGAATTCTTCTATTCCAAGGTTTAACTGCAATAGTAATTTCTGTTTCAAAAAAAGGTTTAGATGCGATATCTCCCCTGAAAGTTAATTTCCGACCACTGTTGAAACCAACACTTAAAAAAATATCCCATTGTACTGCTTGACAGTCTTTTTAATCCACTAGTAACAACATTTGGAATAAATGGGACATTGAGGAAGATGATTAATTAAACCATTCGGAAGAATATTGTACAGAAAGCACTGGCAATTTGCATCCAACACCTATATATGAAGTATTAAAGTATTAGAAGAAAATTGCAGGACTAGCACATTGATATAAGCAATTGAAATCCCAAATTGCAGTCAAGTAGGAGTTACACTTCACAAATTTAAAGAGGAAGGAGACATAGCCCCGAGCAGAGAGAAGCACATATACTTTAAATAATACTCAGTAAGCTTTAAACAGTTATGTTCGTTGATAGACTGAAAGGTTTGGGTGTGCCTAACCAAGGCAAGAAAAAGAACTAGCTGTTTAGTTTCATTTGATCTTTCATTAGATTTCTAAGTTTGTTTTAAGGCAAACATGGATAACATATCCAAACTCAGGTAATGTATCCTACTCTTTGGACAAGCAATAACAATGTGGGAAATAACCTCTAACATGTCATATAAACTAGTGACCATAAGGAACAAGACTCACGCCCTGCACAGACATCAAGGAATGCTGTACTGTGAAGAGACATTAAGTCACTGCATTGCGTGTACAGAAACTGATTAAACCTGTTTCATCATTAAGACCTATTGACAGTAAATTCCACGTCACTCACCTGTGTCAGGAACATCTGTAGGTCTCATAATTCTTCGGATCTGCTCCATTGACTGGAGATCTGGAGACAGTCCTGTAAGCAGAAGAAAACAAGTGACTTATCTACATATTTTACCTGTGAAAAGGGTTCCAGAGAACACACAATTAGAGGTTCAAAGTCATACAGCATCCACTGTTTCCACTGTAATATAAACAAAAGATAATTTGCTGTAAGATAATTAAGGTCCTGGACAGAAAGTAACACAAGTGAAATTAATAAGGGGTTTGAATTGTTTTCCTAGCATCCTTTTAGCCACACAGCACAGAACTCTACAGTTAAGTATGTTGTCTTAAACAGCTTACTAGAGAGACCCAGTGAAGGATAACATTGCCATTATCTAACACAAACAGGATGCAGATGACCTTCTTTACAACCACCTGATTTTATAAAAGCTAAAGGAAAATCCCCTACCCAGCTTTAAAAGACCACAAGCCAAAGCAGCCTGCAGGTATGACTGGAATCTTAAGTCACATCACCGTAAGTGTTTTACCACACATCAGCTGAGTAGCAGTCACTGGATGCTGTAAACAAATACTAGACTATGCAACTGTAATACATAAGAAGCACAGAGGTGGTCATCTACTATAGCTCAGCTGCTTAGTCATTTATAACATCATAGTACTTTGATTACTCAAAACCTCATTTATCATAAAGATACAGCTCTTTTTGTACAGTTTTGCCATATTAACATGTAATTAGAGGCAAAGCACAGGATTCCAAAGCCACCCTTTGAACAGTTTAAGTACACAGTACAGAGCTTTTCTACCTGAGGCATACAGGCATGAAAGAGAACCTACTAGATGCTCTAGCATCTTAACATGTCCTTAAATAAGAGTCCTAAAGTGACTTAAACGACTTAGGCCAAGATCACCTAATTAGGAAAGTTGCAAATTTGGAAATAGAGCATGAAGACCTAATTTGTGATGAAACATATTTCATATCAGCAAGCTGTTATCCATTTGACTCAGTGCAGAAGTTTGAATGTGATAAAAGAAAACCTGTCATTGGAAAGGAGTCACCGCTTAAAAAAATTTCAGCTGACAGGGTTTGCACAGTGGCAATATACATGTTAGAGGAACAACTACTCCAATGCATTTGATATAAAGACTTGAGGAACTTTTCTTCGAGTATTAAGATTTTAGATTATTTTTGTTGAAGCAGGCTTATGGTGAAAGCCTTCTATCCTCATCAGCTTGTTAAAGCTATCTTCATGGTATTACCTTGAGGTTGTGAAGGATGGCAGAAATCTTACATTAAATAGTGTACCAAAGGAGTTTTAGTCAATTCTACTTACACAACAATCTAGGGATACCAATATAAAATTCAAGTAGATAATCAGCTTTTAAACTTTGACCAACCTACCACTTCCTCAGAACTGATCTATTTGCATCCAGATTACATTAGCACAAAGGCATGTGGATTCTACTCCGATTCTACTCTGCACCACACCCTCCAAGATAGTAATGGACAATCTCAGTGAAATAAGCTTGACCAGTTTGTGACCTTCTATGAGGTTACAGCTCTCAGCATTTCAGGTTGCACCCAAACTTGAAGCTCTTTAAAAGAAAATGTTATTTTAAACCATATCACAACCCCATAGCTGTTAATTTTTGTGCCTGCACAAAACTTAACAAAACTGCCTGCATGTTTGTAGACCTCTTTGTAACCACCCAAGAGGTGGTCTTTTCCCAAATATCTTCTTAACTCCCCCTGCACAAAAAGAAATAGCTAATGTCTCAAAATTCAGATCTACAGACAAAAGTTGTACACGATCAGCACTACAAGAAGGGAACAAAAATGCAAACACAGGCTACTCAAGCTCACTGTCAAGCTGCTGCCACTACAGTGATTGCTGCAACCTAGTATACTAAAAGAAAACTGAAAAGTACACAATTGAATTAAGTTGCCTTGTCACATAACAGCAGCTAAACACAGAAAATGTATCTTTCAGTATACTTCTTGAAGCATAAGAGCATCTCTTCCCTAAGGAAAACAGGGAAATGATGTGTCATTACTCCTGGCAGACTCAACAAATCCAGGCTCCAGATTTGAACCACTCCCTGATCAGGGAGAACTGATGAAGTTATGGTTACTTATTTTTATAGTGTAATCATCCAGGAAGCTCATCAGGTCTCTCTGGACACCACGTAAGACTATCAAGTAGGCTTCACCTTAAACATACATTTGTCATTAATGCCACAAGAAAAACAGAATTCCAGAGTTTGAAGATATTACATAAATGCAGTATTCTACTAAACTAACATGACTCCCACCTCAGAGCTTAAATCCAATGTGGTAAGACCATCAACATGACACTACAACATGGACTTAGTTTATAGAAGCTTGAAAATAATCACATAAGGTCTCTAAAGATTAGAGCTAGACAGTGGTGTCATAGATAAGAGGACAATACTGTTCAGAATAGAAAGCAGAGCAAAAGAAGTCAGGAATGGTTATGGAATAAGCTTTAATCAAGCAAGATAAAGAGCAAAGTCAGAAGTTGAGGGCAGTCCTAAGAAAAGGCAAAAATATGACTTGTATGAGCAATGAATGTAGAAAGACAGGGAAAAGCGAGGGAGGCCTTGGGAAGGACACAATGAAAGATCCTTTCAGCAGCATGAACATTTGGAGACAGGAATGGCAAGAGAGGTTTGATTTACACTGTGAGATCCAGAACTCCAAACAGCAGATGCCCAGAAAAGTCTAAGTAAAATGACTCAGCATTTTAAGCTATTGTAGATAGCCTACTGGGGTAAGTTAGGTGCCTTTTGTTTTACTATGTTATGCGGTTTTGCAAAGTTTTATTATATATCCCAGAGGACAATATTTTTAAAATAAACTATGCAAAAATGCGCAATATAGTAAAAAAGGCACCTACCTTATATCTACATGCTAGCTTCAACCTCCAGCAGAGTTGAATGGTTTGAGTTGCTGCCTCAGTGTTTATTAGAGTAGTAACATCATGAAAAGGCGTTGGCAGTCCATGACTTCATGGGATCTGGAATGCAGTTTGGATAGGATTGGAGAAGAGCGGAAAAAGGGAAAAACTTACATATGTGCTGAATGTCCACTTTCATTTATTAGGAGCACACAGCACATTTAGTAATCTTTTCACTTTATTTCACAGCCGCAGATCAATTGCGAGTGATAGTAATTTCAGTTAGACGAAGCCTGTACAAGTTTAAGGGACAGTTAGCATTCAGTAAAGAAGTAAATATTGCGTTTCATAAGAGGATCCTTAAAGCATACTATGCACAAAATAGAAGTTTTCCTACTTGATTAAACAAGAGGTTAATCCCCCAATACATTTATTATAAAGCTTTAAATTTTCCCTTGAAAAATAGCTTTTTACTCATAACTCAGGTCTCAAGTGCATATACACACAAAACTGAGTTTTGTCTAGAACATAGCATTCTACTCTACCTATTAAGCTTCCTTGATTACCTTCTACCACCCACCTAAACTGAACTGTTTGCCTGAAACACCACAGTATTTTGTCACCATTCATTCTTTACTGTTTTGCAAATAAAACAAAATTCAAAAAGTATAATGATGGTAAGAGTATAACTCCTTTGCCAGCTTTTTTGGAAACAAAATTTATTACATTTAGGGTTTAGCTACTGATAATTGGCTCCCTCAGCACAGAAGTAATTTTGTATCTCACATTCTTAAAATTATGAGATCTAGCTCATAAGATAGGTACCAGTTCTTAAAAAAGAAAAAGACACCACGCCACACTGACTGAGAATGAGATGAAAAGATGACCTGTGAGAAAACAAGTACTTTCTCTAATATGTCAATGCTACCTGGAGACTGGCACAGACTCAGCTATCACTGCATTAATTCTGTATTTACGGAGACATGACAATACCTCAGAGCATATTATGCATAAGACTTTAACAGCTTATACTAGCAGGCACTGAAGGCAGAAGCTTTCAATACAAGATGCAAGAAGAGGCAGAATGATTTTTAGCACACAATCCATACAGGCAGAGCTATTGCAAAGATACCTGTAATTAATAAAGGCAGGATGGCAGCCATCAATGCAACCTCACAAAGTCTGGAAGAGTCTGCTCAGGAATTTTGGGTGCCCATTATTTCTAATTCCAAATGGAGCTGTCAAACTAGAAGTTTCTCAACTAATCTCTAATTATGTCACCGAAAATGCAGGTGTGACACCTACAAACGATCTCTGGATTACTCAGCACTAGGCATCAAGTTGCTTAGTAACGGAGGTAGTTGCAAAGACAGCTGCAAAAAAGCAGGATGGCTCTTACTACAAGTAATTTGAAATTGTTGTCAATTGTTTGAGTTCTTGCAACTCTGCAAGGTCCCGAAAACCTGTACGCATCATTGCCTGGAAAAACATGGGGAGTCCCCTTCTGCAGAGAAGGGTACCTGAATAAGTTTCAATATTTGAAAGTCAGACCAACACCAAAACTTTTCTCTACAAGAATAGGGCAACTCTGGGACAGATGCCCACAGAACGCATATTTTCCAATAGCAGAGGTTTTACGCAGTCAGCACAAGCCATGGCTGACTTGCTCTAATGTTAACAATCATCTTGCTTCAAGCAGCAGGCTTGACTGTGACCTCAGAGATCCATTCCACCAACATCTAATGAAAACAGCTAAAGAACCCAAGACTATAGAGCTGGGGTTACTTTTAAAAGTTATTCTTTCACTTCACTGCTAGAGATGCCAGTATTAGCTAAGGCTGCATTGACAGATAGTAACAGCAACAAGTCATGTGGCAAATTCGGCAAGAACTCTAAGATTCAATATCCTTCAGAGAGGGACACTCTGATGGGAATACTTATGAACACACTTGCCCCTCAGGTGCAGAAGCCATGTGTATCAGGTAAGGATGACAGCTGCCTGCTGCCAGGTGTACAGAAAAGCATAAGGCATAACAGTGACCTTTACAGGCAATATAAGGTTAAATGTCTCCATCTAAATACCAGGTATGCACATCCACACTCCATTTGGTACAGCATTAACCCCAAGATCAGTTTGGACACAGCCTTTAAAAGCAGTCATCAGCTTACCTCCATGACAGCAGAAGATCTTCTCATCCACAATGGCTGCAATAGGCAGACAGTTAAAACAATCTGTGAAGGTCTTCCACAGCTTAATGTTAAATCTCCGCTTGCCTACAAGAACAGCACATGACATTAGAAAGAGAAGGCTGTTTTTTTAAAGCAAACCTGCAATACATATCACAATCTGACCAAAAATGCTAGCAAACTGTCTTCACAGGGCTTTATTTCTGTCAGGGTACTTCGATTTCAATCTCCTGCAACAGCATTTCAAGGACAGCAGAACAGCAAATAATAATTCTCTAAATGACTTTAACCTTGGTTTGAAATGTACTTTTAGAAAGTTTCAAAGCAGGTTCACAGAATATCGAAATCCTTGCAGCACAAGAGTTGCTACTAGAAGTGTCTCCAAAACACAGTATTAGTCTATAACAGTCTTTCAGAAGAAACAGGTTTTGCTTACATTCATCATAGAATCCATAGATCCGATTGATGCTAGCACACTCGTGATTTCCTCTTAAGAGAAAGAAGTTTTCTGGGTACTTGATTTTATATGCCAGTAGTAGGCAAATTGTTTCCAGAGACTGTTTGCCTCTGTCTACGTAATCTCCAAGGAAAAGATAATTAGCTTCTGGTGGGAATCCTCCATATTCGAATAATCGAAGCAAGTCTGTATACTGACCATGAATATCACCTGAATAAGAAAATGTTTACTGATGATTAGTGCAAGAACATAAAGAGTACACAAATCAAGAATTTAAGACAGCTAATCCCTTTTTATTAATTGATCTTAAAAAAAGCACTAACATTTCCTTTAAAAACAGACTGACAATAGGTACCAGAAAGGTGATAACCATGTTAATATTACCAGCTGAAGTATTCACTAAATGTAAATAACCCATAGTATTTGCAGAGCTGCTATGTCAGTTATGAAAATCTGAAAACCAAAAGCTACAGAAGTCTTCAAAATTAAGCTTAAGATTTCTAACAAAGCTCTAATTTATTCAAATTAAAACAAGGTCAGAAAGACAACCTCTACTTGAACAGTTACATGGCCAGGAAGACAATGTATTAAGAAAAAGTTAAGTCACATGATTCACTGCAGAAATAGACCAGTAAAAATCTACTAAACAGACTGGAGGGAAACTGAAAATTGTGCTGGCAGACAGCACTTACTTCAAAGGTCAACTTCTCCTATAACACTGCTGTACTAAAATTCCCATCCCCCAGCATTTAGGGTAACTCCTCCTTCGATGCAATTATTCATATAAAACCAGTACAGACTCAAAGACTGATATCCCTTACAGGATATTCAACCCCACAGGTACATCGTAGGAAAAATAACTGTCATGTTACTCATCACATTGCCAGCTTTAAAATTAAGCAGGCTTTCCATGAAAACAGTTCTGTGTGGCAATTACAACACCACAGCGTATGATATCAGACTAGCCAAAGCTAACTATCAGTGAGTTGCCCATGAGGTCAAAAAAGGTAACAAAGCTGTTCTACAGTAACTTTGTAGAGTACACGCGATGTATTCCAGCTGACTGTAGAATTCATTACTAAAGTGACTGAATGCAAAAAATCTACGCAAGAAGCATTCAGTACACGCTGTATGCTGTTTAAATTTAGTACCTCCTGGCCCCTTACACTAAGCATTCCATAAATGCATTTGCACTTTTGCTGCTTGTTCAGTGGCAAAATCCCAACTGTTAAGCACAGCTATTTTCTAGTAGAGCACTAGCTACTGTGGCCTTAAAAAACAAAAAATCCAACACACACATCTCTACAACTCTTTCCATAATCTTAAAAGAAAAAAGGTTCCCAAACTTGTATGCTCTCCAGTTCAAGTCTTAAAGCATACAGTGGTAAGAAAAGTACATAGCTATATTGCTTTTTACTCTTTCCAGTGGAAATGCATTCCTTCCTCCTTTAGGTAGCATTATTCTGTAACTATTTCTCACTCAGGTAATCACTTCTCAATTTTCTTCTAATAACAGGGAACATTATCCACTACCCAATTCCAGAAAGTCTGAAGATTCACTGGTTAAAATCATTTTCACATGTGTTACAACAAGAACAATTCCTATTCTACTTGATATTTAGAAATCTCCAGGTCACAATTGGAAGAAAACACAGAAAACTCCTCAACAAATGAATGCTTCCATAAGAATATCTTTCATCTTACATTAAAACATAGCCATTCAAGATGTAAAAGCTTATTTTGAACTGACCTGATTACAAGCAATGACAATCCTATAATGGTTCTAGTGGAGGGTGTCCCTGCCTGCAGCAGGGAGGCTGGAACTAGATGATCTTTGAGGTCCCTTCCAACCCAAACCATTCTATGAAGTCATTGCTATGCTGAGTCTAGTACTCCAGAACGATGCTATCAATACTCTCCAGACTTCACCACCACCAGAATTAACTACCAAGCAAGCATACTACAGAAGGATTATTATAAATGTGTTCCTTGCCTAGAACTAGTTTGTTACACACATGAACCAGAGGGACCAAAGCACTTAAAGGGTAAAGGAACATTTACAGAAACAATTTTGTAAAGGGACCAAAGCATTTACTATTCCATTCAAGGCACTTCGCATTTTAAAATACAGCTTCATATGGGCACAAGTTGAAGTCTACCAGATAAAGCCTTACAGTAAAAACCTCATCTATTTTAAAATGAATGTTTCCATAAGAATACCTTTCATCTTACATTAAAACATAGCCATTCAAGATGTAAAAGCTTATTTTGAACTGACTTGATTACAAGCGAAGACAATCCTATAATGGTTCCTCAGGCATTGCCTGAACACACTGAAACAGTAGTTCAAAGGAGTACAGCTGCATATTTTGCTTTTGGTGAAAGCGATCATCTTTCTTTCACTTTTATCTAAATGCATCTTTGACAATTGCTCTGATATTGAATTTAGATGCACCTGACACTTCCTGGTGCTATCACTGTGTTTGGAATCCAATTTAAAAATAACAAATGCCTTATTTCATAGTGCATTCGCTACCCTATTATTGTGCATCTAACAGTCCTTTCAACCACCTCAATTTAAGTAAATGAGAAACTAACTTTGAAGGAGGCTAATTATACTTTGCAGACCTTGACTTATGTATAATCTAAATATTTGAGTTTTCATTTTTTCTTTATCTAAGAATACAATGAGACTACTACAGTCTTTAAAGCGTAGCATAAACACAGTGTGGTAAAGCTGGATTTTACCTTCACCTTTATGTCATTAGGCAAGCTGGTCCAGTTTTTCTCCCCACTCTACCAAGCAATTAGTCATTTAAAAATTACTTTGCCATTAGTGCACTTTCTTTAAATTGGTAATATCCTATCTTAATGTAAGAAACATTGCTACACTAGGTCTGCCAGGAAGAAGCTGATTTATCTTTGAGCATGTTAGTAACAACAAATTCAAAGACTGCTTCAATTTTAATATTATGACGCTTAAAGAAGCCTAAGTCAAGAAATTTTATGCTAAGGCTGCTTCTGCTGTTAATAACTTGAAGGATGATTACAAGCCAGTATTTACAATACTTTTGCAACAGTTTTTAACAAGCTTGCATACCTATTAACAACAGTGCACTTTGTCAAGGTCTAGCATCTTATAAAGGTTTATAGAGGTAAAGAACACAGACATTTTAGTTTTATTCATATTTGACAGCAGTAATGATGTCTGTCAAAACGTGCTCTAAAGCTCAAGGAATTTATTACATGGTAACTAAGCCTAATTTAAGTCTGCATTCAGTTTTATTTTTTCAGTTGAGGGACTAACCATGCTTTCTTCAACACTATTTTTGAAGAGTTCCATTTCACAACACGTAAAGATATTTGGTTTGCTTATACTTTGAAGAGAGCAACTACAATATTAAACATTTGCTACTTTCAAAGAAGGTAACTGCTTTTTGAAATAGCAAAACAGTAGCAGCTCTGCACAAGCAGTCTCCAGGGAAGTAGAGGGGACAGGTTGCAAATTTTGCACCAGACGAGGGCACAAGCAGCTCTTACTGCCAACAGAACTTGCTCCTAAGTAGTACTAGGAGCACCAACAATCTACCAACTGTTAGATGCCTTTTCTCAATCTAACCTGAGTAGAAAGTTACTTCTAAGATTGTGAAGACCTCACTCTAATCTGCATCACCCAAGTCAAGGTCTATCTCAGTACCCTTCCAATCCACCTAGCGCACAACTAGATTAAAACACCTATATGAAATACATATATATGAAGTATACATACCACAAATTTTCAGAGGTGCCTCTAGTTCCAGGAGAATAGGCTGGCTAAGAAATATTTCCCGTGACTTTATGCATAAGCCCCGAACTTCTGCTTCGGTCATCTGAACAATCTTCCCAGGACGACATCCTCGTACTGAAATGATATGTTTAAAAATTGAACGTAACTATCACTCAGATACACAGGAATAGGTAATTGCAGATGAGCTGTATTTGAAATCTATATTTGACAAAAAGCCAGCAGAACACTCCAACATATCTACTAAATGTCTTGGAATTATATATTCCAACAGATTCTAAAATTAATCTCTGATACTGTGGTAACCTGTGCTTAAAGGTCTGTATGCATTCCTGTTAAATCAGGTTCTCAGAAGAGAACAATTTAAGCCTTGCCTTTGTCCACATTTGGATAAATAGCAATTTCAAAGTGTTTCAAACAATCCCATTATGCTAGAGTACTGACAATAGACAAAAAATATGGAAAATGGAAATCCTGAAAACACTTTCACATTAGTACAAAATAAACTTGTTTAGGACTGTTGAGTTCAACAGGCCTAGCTAAATACAAAGAAAAAACCCACAGGCATGTTTATACTTTCAGCAGCTGCAATTGCCATATTAGGAACATCACACTAAAAACTATGAAAATTTGATGAAACCTTCATTCATATATAACAGCTCTTGAGTTATTGGAACCTTTACGTGCAAAGACATTCTAATTAGAATGAAATTGAATTCCTAAACCAATAAGTCAGGTATTCAGACCTATATTTAGCACTGAGTTTTCAAAAGCATTCACATGTCATTGCGTTCCAGCCAATATCCTCTGGGACATTTATCTGCAGCTGCTTCTTTCCACAGATATCTATATGATTCCTCTATCAGAGGTTTTAATGTGTCTTTAATGAGGCAGCAAAATAGAACAAATGTGCCTGCACCTTGGCTGATCCAGTTCAGTCTTGCATCTCAGCATAAGCCAAACTTCAGAGTTCAAACTAATAAGCCAGAATGTATCAGTGTCTACAACAGGCAAACATCCTGTTCTGCCATCTGCTGTAGATGGAAGCAACATTCAGCACTAAACCACAGTAGTTATCTACAGAAGAAGGTGGTACGAAACTTTAGCAGTTCAAATCCAAATGGTTTCAAACTCAAACATAATAAGACACTACTTCATAAAAATTTTAGCTGCAATTTCAGGAAGTCTAGTAAGACAGATTTGCAAACAGAATAGCAAAAACTAGTTCTTCACACATAAAATAAGTTCCTGGCTTGCCTGCTTCCCCTCTCCAAAAACAAAGATTAAGTTTGCAACTTTTTTTTTTTAAATTCATATAACCTCCCCCTTTTCCTTTTATTTCCGCCTAGCTCCTAGAAAACATACTTTACAGAGGAAGTCAGCATTATTACCTACATTGTGCAATGGGGAAAAAATGGATATGACTGGAAATAGTTCATCCTAGGTCACCTAGTACTAACAGTCCAAAGTGTTAAGCTCAGAAAGCTCTTCTCTGGTTATCACTGCATCCTTCTCCCAGTGTAACTGCACATCTGATCATTACAACACTGTGCTATGAATTTTTATTTTTAATAAACACCAAACACACTTGTTAAACTGAGGTTAGGAAGCAGCCACAGGAACATGTGAAAAGGCAGAAATGAAGAATGGTTTTCTCAAGCAGGGAAGAGAAGATGTGAAACTAGATCCTGAGACAGATGGTTTGAGTGCCAAAATAGCAGGAGGGCCAGTCTGTCTGCAGTGAGGATACACTGGAAATACTTCACTCATTAGAATCCCACAAGAACAAGGCTGTGCCATACAGGACTTCTTTCAGTGAAACTCCGAATGAGTACCAGGTGATACTTACCATATGGTAAGTCACATTCTTTTTGCTAATTAAGATTTCAACTATACTTGAGAAAGCAAACAGCTTTTTAGTAACACTTTTTTTTGTTATTCTTCATGCATTAAGATGTTGGCTTACATATTAGAATACAAAGACAGACATTAGACACAATAAAGGTGACTAGAAAACAATAAATGCCTACAGGTTTCCATTTCATCACATCTCAAACATCTATTAAGTTATACACTTATAGATACGTCTTCAGTCCCACGGGGATTATTAACAAAAAGAAAATACATTTCAGGCTCAACAGCTCTGCGCTGACTTGACTATCCAATTTGTGAGGGATCAAAATGCTCCAAAAATCTCCATCTTTTCAAATGCTTACATTCCGGTAGCTTATAATGATCTCTTTCATAGACTAGAAACTCCCTTTGACAGGCACACAAAGTGTCACTATACATATAAAGCTCCCACCTGAAAGAGCAGAGTCTTAGTATCACAATGGCTATCATTTTATTAAAACAACTGCTATATTTTAAACCCATGGCTTATTACAACATCAAGGTCATGCCAAAGCAGCATGGAACACAACTAGGTCTTCAGTCCTATTTTTCCTCTACAAACTGCATTTTTTCAACCTGTTTTGATAAGCAATGTAATTCTCCTCTGTATTTAATACTTAAGTACTGTCGTAATGTTTTGCAACACCAGAATTAAATCATTTCATCTAGATTAAAACCAAGTGATCTAATTGCACACTTTTTATATCCACTCTATTTTCAGAGCTCAAACTCAGGAAAGCCCACCATACACAACATTAATGTTACCAGAAGTAGTACCAGACCAAGCACAGAGTCCAAAATTGAGACAGCAGTTCAAGGAGGGCACTCATAATACTTAAAATAACTTTGATCCAATCAATATTTCTTAGAACACCAGTCTTTAGCTCCCTCTGGAACTCACATGGAGACTTAAACTTGGAACAATTGCTTTATAGAATTGAGGCCTTAAATGCTGATGGATTTTTGCACTAGAAGACACAGTGGACATGCAGCTCCTGAGTTCAAAATTAACTGCCATAGTCACTGCATCCAGTGTCTTGATGTTAGTTCGTTACTTTTTACAGTACAGCCTTAAACGTTGCAAGCCCTGAACAGACAAACCAACAAACTGGGCAGTAACTTATTACCACACTTCAGATTCTCCAGATAAGAGACATTTCTACAACTATAGCAAATATGTCACTCTAGGAGGAGGAGACAACATACACCCAATGATTGCTGTTACTTCCAGCCCTTGGGAAGGGTATAAACCTGAGTCATTGCACCTTTGCAAAGGCACCCTCCCCCCTCCATCGGAACGGTCAGCAGCTCCACATAGCAAACACGTAAGCTCAGTTACATTTGACAAACAAAGCCTCATGAGGGTTTCATGAGGAATAATCATCAATAATATAGTTAGGAGACATTTTCTCTCACAATGCCCTGATCATCAATAAGGGTACTGGATGTTGAAAAATGACAAGCTACTGTGACCCTAGAAGCCTCAACCCTTTACTGGATTCAAAGGCTCTGAAAGGTTCACCAAGTAGTCATCCAAAACAGCTGTGCCACAGCTATGGTACAAGTAACACAAGCAAGACTAAGCACATCTTACACCAGCTTACACTACAACCACAATTTTGTTGAACTATCCTTGACTCAGCTGAGCACTGTACGGAGCGTAAACAAGAGCATCTCTCAACACATTTAGTTTTTCAAAAGCCAAATCCCCAAGAACAGATTTAAGAGGAGGGTATGAGAATGAGATCAAGAGCGCAAGTGATGTTTTTCAGACTCATTTACAAAATACTAAAGCTAACTGTTCTTAAAACATGCAAGTCATAGCTGCATGCATTCTAAAATCTGTAGCTCACAAAAAGCCTTTAACAGCATTGGGAAAACCATCATTTTTAATAGTTGTCATTTACCCAGAGCAGAAACAGCATCCCAACATTAGACATAAATTAATTCTCTTTAATCTAAGACACAGATGCAGTAAACAAGCTTTGATTTACATAAAAGTCTTTGGTAGGGACAGCATCTCCTGTTGTAACACAGTCCCACGTGCATAGTGCTATGCCAGAACAAGCCTTTGCTGCAAGGAGCTTAAAGCAGACTGACATAGTAGGGAATAAAGAGAATTAAAAGCAACTATATCCATTGTACTGCCAGGCTATTATTTTAGCACAATAGATCTTATAGTAATCCAAAAGCTGCTCTAATCAATATTAAAATGGTCTCTGCATCTACACAACCTTTCATAAGCAACCTCAGCAAGTCTACTAATAGCAATTAGCAATCAGAAACATGAGTTGCACAGTGGCAGGACAGAAAAACTTCAGCAAACGTAATTATTATTTTTTTAATCCCTCCAAACTCAAGCCAGAAAGCAGCAAATTATGTAAGGCAATACTGAAGAGGAAGAAAATAAATAACACTAAGGAAAGTGGGTGAAGAATTGGCTCTTGGAAGTTCTATGAGCATGACTTTTTGGCATACTCTTTCATGAACTGGAGAAAATACATTTAACCTATTCTGTCACACTGCTTCTAGCATGCCTCTCAGTAGCTAAGCTGCTCATTTTGTGGCATCACTAATAGAAGCTTCTTCAATTACTTTATCAGCTGTGGTATGCACAGCTGTCCTAAGCGTCTATACCACGTTCTCCAAGACCACTTGTGTCCTGTTTACTGGACAAAACATTCATGGTTTTAGCATAACATGAACAGCCAGACTTCTAAGTCTCATAAAAAATTGGGCCAGCATTATTGCTAAACAGCAGCTTCCTTATTTCCCTACGCTCTGCTTTTTTTGCAGACATAAGTATTTGTGTGGCCAGACAGTAAACTGCATCAGTGAACTGATCTTTTCTTTCTAGTACAAAGACACAACAAAACAAAAATGTTATCTAGACAGTTTCCCAAGCTGAAGAATACATCCACTGTGAACTTGAGCTAGGCCTAGTGAAGGAATAAGCAGCTGGTTCTGTTTCTTTTCACAGTAGCTCCAGCCAAGCCTACTTCTGAAATTACGGCTTTAGAGATCTATTTTTCTGGACTATGTCTAAAAAAACCCCAAAACTACAAAAAAGACTGCAAGCATGCAATTTTACAAATTGCACCCATGCAATTCGCACAAGCTTACGTTCCCCCTGACATTCAGTGGAATGTTTAACATTAGTGATTAACTACAACATTTAACTATTTATTTCTTGTGCTTCAAAGTATTTTGGAGTATTTGATGAATCCTGAACAGCCTCTCAAC